AAAGCAGCGATAAAGCTGGAAAAATGTTTTTGAATACTATAAAATGACTTCCATTCTTTTCAACCTCTTTTTTGTTCTTTCTTTTTTTAAATATCATTTCTTAATGCTATGTGAAAAGTTTTAAAGTTTAATTTAATTGAGAAAATTTCGGTTAAAAACGGTTTTGAAAAGACAAAAAAATAAGTTTTTTTTTTTAATTTTTATCATAACTGCATCGCGATAAGTAAGAGAAGTGGCAAATATTCTATCCAAAAAAAAGAATGAAAAAAATTATGTTCCTCATACTTGTTTTAATGCAGTAGTGTTGAAAAAAAAAAAAGTAGCCGAGTCTGCAACAAATATAACGTTTTTCAGAAATTCAATAAATTAAATATAAAAAACCAATTTAATGCTCATTTGGGAAAGTCGTAAAAATATACATAAATAATGATGGTAAATATAGAATAAATTTGCATGAGGTGCACCTATTTTTGAAAAAAAAAAAAAAAGAAATACATGAACATTAAATTTGATATGCTATTTTTTGAAGAGTCTTCAAGCAACAACGATTTCACCTTAAAGCTTTCTAAATAAAACAACATGAAGAAAAAAGGAAATTATTACTAATGTTTTCACATAGTCATCAATTTCTAAAAAAGCACATTTTAAATAAATCACATCTTTCTCAGTAGATTTTCACTGCATTTAAAACTGAACAATACTTTATTGGTTCCGCCTGCATCTTTTTTCTCCTTTTTTTTTTTTCTTTCTTTACATCTATCTTTCTTGATTATTTCAACAAATGTTTCAAAGTGTATTCAAATATATCCGTTTACTGAAAACTATTAATTGTTAAAACAATAAAAAATTGATGCTTCTTTTCTTAGCAAATTTAGAACTGTTAAAGGTTTCTATGGGAATATAGTTAAGCCAGTTTTTTTAATAGACAACCATTTTAAAAAAAACCCTAATCATCAAACATTATTACATTTGTTGGTTACTAAGTTTTCACTTCATTATTCAGTATGTTATACATAAATAAAATTGATGCTGAAAAAACTTCAAAGTAGAAATAAATCACTTACGAATACACGGATTAACCGGTGACCGGCTTTGCTGATATCCCTGTGCACATCGGTTGCAATTTAAACCGGTAACACCGTTTTTGCAGATACACTGACCACTTGTCTGATTGCAACTTTTTGACAACGACCCAAGTGCGTGACAGTTACAAGCTGAAATTATAATCAGCAAAATATTGAGCTCAAAATTCACTACACCAAAAGATGCGAATGAAGAATTGCAGCCATTGAAAGACTAGAAAAATTACTGATTATGATTCTTAATTTTTATGGCTACCAAAAACCAAAAAAAAATGGTCTACCTGCAGCGTTTCAAAGATCTAATTGAGCACTGCAAAATTACGTTCTGCGAAAAAAAGTTTTTGTTCTCTTATGTTTCGCTTTTGTCTACTTATTTTGAAGAAAAAAAAAGGCTAAAATTTTCTGAAAACCGGAAAAAAAAGAACTGAAGTAACGAATGTAAGACTTTTGTGAATGTTGCCAAACCATTGCAACAATACGAGCGAAAAAACTTGAAGAATTTTTTGCCATAACAATTTTACTCGTAATGATAGCCATTTAAAACACTTAAGAAAAGTAAAATCGGCAATAAAACAACATTAGCAAAATAATGCTTAAGAAATTTTTTTACACAATTTGCTGCTTTAAGTGATTAACTTTTCCGGTTTTTATTCGTTTATCTTTATCTTATTATAAGTTTTCCAAAAATAAACGTTAAACAGTATTTGTTTAGTGAATTTTTTCATTACTACAGTATCCTACAAGTAATTTTTTTTTCTTTTTTATAATTATGCTAAGATGTAAACAAAAAATTTGCTATAAACTTCATATAAATCATAAAGTTAATTACCACTCTTTAGACAAGAAAAAAAAAGAAAAAGAAAGATGTATCTGACCAAAAGACTATTATTGTTTGCAACGTTTTCTGTTTTAGGTTTAAGCAACTTTTTTTTATTTGCAAAGTCTACAATCTATAAACGTTTGTCTCGTCTTCAAGCAAAAATTCCTAAGTGTTCGCCTCTTTTCCTTTTTTTTTGAAACTTTTCTGATGAAGGCAGATGGATAGACGGTAGACAGTTTGTTGGTAAACGATTGTCATAGCAAAATTAACACTGCTATTTTGCTTCTGCTCAACTCAGTTTAAACGGTTAATGGATAGTAGTAGAAGAGAACTTTGACATAATTGAATAGCGCCATAAGAATGGTATCTAATTGAATACAATGGTATGCAATTGGTAATCTATTCATCAGATTTGCAACCTGCGTGGGATCTCTGGCCTCACAGACAATGGGGCTTTTATTGTCCAGGTTAAGCAATAAAAGGGTCTGTTGAGAACACAACAAATTACAATGTTGTTTGTGTTAACGAAATGAAAAGAAGTTGGAACTGACAAATCGTATACTGCTGAGTAGGTATTATTGCACTGGCTAAGAGAAGGGAAGAGGAAGGAGGATTATTAGAAAATAGTCATAAATGAAGACAACAAAAAAAAAATTTTTTTTTCATTTACACAAGATAGTTGCAAAAATAACGTTTCTGAAACAGAAATTGCCAACAATAACTTCACCTGCAACGTTTGTCTTCCCTTTTTTCCTTTTCATTTATTCTCTTCCGTTCATCGTTCGTTTTGTTTATGTTAGACGTTACCGAAACACTTCAGAAATGAGCAAGAATTAATGGGTTTCTTATACGCAAAAAAATTATCTACTGTAAGCAGAAGACGAAGACACTTCTACAAAAGTGTAATAACCCAGAGCAATAAACATAAATTTTTGTCGACTGGCGACAGCTTCCCAAATTAATTTAAACCTTTTCCACCCATATTCCTGCACGCTTTCTACAGTATCAACTATCTGCTGCATCCAACATGCTGTATGTCACAAAAAAACCCCCGTTGTTAAAAAGAAAAGATATTTTCAAGAATCTTGCTCTACTTCCATTTTTTCCACATAAATATCACTCCAGAAACAGAGCAAGGTTTTTGATCATAAAAGACAAAAATAAAGCAGTGAGATAGAAAATAGAAGCTCAAAAGCATAAAGTAAAATAAAAATAAAGCAAAGGTCAATTCAATAAAGTTCCTTTATTCTTTTTTCTTTCTTTCTTTTTTTTTTTTTTTTTTTTTT